CCTGTATTAATGGCACCTGTTTGAACTTGTTATCAGTATAAAAGACACCTATCCACAACCTCAAACAGTCACACTCCAAACTCCACTATGGCCAAGACCAAAGAGCTGTCAAAGGACACCAGAAACACAATTGTAGACCTGCACCAGGCTGGGAAGACTGAATCTGCAATAGGTAAGCAGCTTGGTTTGAAGAAATCAACTGTGGGAGCAATTATTAGGAAATGGAAGACATACAAGACCACTGATAATCTCCCTCGATCTGGGGCTCCACGCAAGATCTCACCCCGTGGGGTCAAAATGATCACAAGAACGGTGAGCAATAATCCCAGAACCACACGGGGGGACCTAGTGAATGACCTGCAGAGAGCTGGGACCAAAGTAACAAAGCCTACCATCAGTAACACACTACGCCGCCAGGGACTCAAATCCTGCAGTGCCAGACGTGTCCCCCTGCTTAAGCCAGTACATGTCCAGGCCCGTCTGAAGTTTGCTAGAGTGCATTTGGATGATCCAGAAGAGGATTGGGAGAATGTCATATGGTCAGATGAAACCAAAATATAACTTTTTGGTAAAAACTCAACTCGTCGTGTTTGGAGGACAAAGAATGCTGAGTTGCATCCAAAGAACACCATACCTACTGTGAAGCATGGGGGTGGAAACATCATGCTTTGGGGCTGTTTTTCTGCAAAGGGACCAGGACGACTGATCCGTGTAAAGGAAAGAATGAATGGGGCCATGTATCGTGAGATTTTGAGTGAAAACATCCTTCCATCAGCAAGGGCATTGAAGATGAAACGTGGCTGGGTCTTTCAGCATGACAATGATCCCAAACACACCGCCCGGGCAACGAAGGAGTGGCTTCGTAAGAAGCATTTCAAGGTCCTGGAGTGGCCTAGCCAGTCTCCAGATCTCAACCCCATAGAAAATCTTTGGAGGGAGTTGAAAGTCCGTGTTGTCCAGCGACAGCCCCAAAACATCACTGCTCTAGAGGAGATCTGCATGGAGGAATGGGCCAAAATACCAGCAATAGTGTGTGAAAACCTTGTGAAGACTTACAGAAAACGTTTGACCTGTGTCATTGCCAACAAAGGGTATATAACAAAGTATTGAGATACTTTTGTTATTGACCAAATACTTATTTTCCACCATAATTTGCAAATAAATTCATAAAAAATCCTACAATGTGATTTTCTGGATTTTTTTTCCTCATTTTGTCTGTCATAGTTGACGTGTACCTATGATGAAAATTACAGGCCTCTCTCATCTTTTTAAGTGGGAGAACTTGCACAATTGGTGGCTGACTAAATACTTTTTTCCCCCACTGTATGTAGCCGATCTGTGTATGGACTCTAAAATGTTTGGTATAAATATTAGTTCAGAACCTAGCTATGAACCCCTGCTATCATAGCTGGTTGTATCAACTTCAGAACAGTCTGAATGACATTAATGAAGCCTATGGATTGAGTAGAATATAATATAACTTTGTGCCAAGGATGCAAGTCGTGTGTATATATATGTAGTTATTACCATGCATGAGATCCCCACATAGTAGCCTGTACATTGAATATATTCACTGATCATGTACTCTACCTTGGCAAATAAAGGTGCAGTTCAGGTATGAATGTCTGTGAGACATTCTTTTTCAGTCATATCCAATACCATTAGTATCAAACTCCAGTCTTTTAATTAACACTTTGTCTGCATGTATGTATTACAATTATACACTTCAACAGTGTTTACCAATCCTGGTCCTGGGACATCAATGGTTTCACATTGTAACTATGCAATAGACTAGAAACATGATTTAAGTAGTTAAAGGCTGATTTGTAATTCATATATAGAAACAGACTTTAAAAAACAGTACACTACACTTCCTATGCATCAAGTAAATACTCTAAAACCGGTTCATCTCAATATCAAACTCCCTTCATCTGCATTGATCTGAGAACACCGGATAGGTGTAGTATTTCATCAAATGAGATACTTAATTTCAACCAGTAGAGAATGTGAAACACTTTTTTGAAAGAAGTTCATTATCCAAGTGTTATAAATACATAATACATGCATTATAAACATTATAATTGTAATATTATATTGTAAATATAAATTAAATCTGTACTTCAATGCTCAACTGGTGTGCATTATAAGAACAGAGGAAGAAAGAAGAGGTGGGTAGAGAGGTGTAAGAAATAGTGTAAAAGACACACGAGGACAAACAATATAGCGTAGTTATATAAATATAAATAATGAAGTGTCTTACTATTCTCCGTGGTTGGTCATCTTGCCTATTCTTTGAAGGTGGAAGGAGCCACAGTTATACACCTGCTTACTGCACAACACAACACATCAATCAGATTGATACACAAGTGTGTAGATGTGGGTTATAGGGTGTCTAATTGTTCTAATTTTTTTCAATATGGGTGACTCTTAAATGAGCCTGTTTTGTTTTTGTACAGACATCACCCTTACCTGAACAGCATCCTCACCTGATAAGTAGAAATCAAAAGGAGATAAACTGGGAATGTAATAACTGCAGTTGACATTGCTAAGTAAATGGAAGAATACTCTTATTGCAATGTGGATGGCTCTTAAAATAGCATTTGGTTGTGCATAGTGTAGTCTATGGTGTTGCCAGGGAACAGCACCCTCTTCGAAGAAGTAGGAGGTGAAGATCTCCCGCACACGGATTACCTCCCGTGCTGCATTGTTGACCTCCATCTTTAAACATCCTGCAGAGCAGCAGACCTCTCTGGCACACGGCGGAGAGCTGCAGATCCCCTCCTGGTCCTCGTGTCCATCCTGATTAAGTTATACAAGTCACAGGTAGCCTTCACACACCTGAATGGCCCTGGTCACCCAACCTTGCAGTGCCCTACACAGTAACTGTAGGCAATCGTTTTGAAGGAATCTCCAGTTACAAGGTATCTGTAGGAATATGGAAGATAATGTCATTATCCTCCGGAGTGGTGCAGTGGTCTAAGGCACTGCATCGCAGTGCTAGCTGTGCCACTAGAGATCCTGGTTCGAATCCAGGCTCTGTCGTAGCCGGCCGCGACCGGGAGACCCATGGGGCGGCGCACAATTGGGCCAGGGTAGGGGAGGGAATGGCCGGCAGGGATGTAGCACAGTTGGTAGAGCATGTTGTTTGCAACGCTAGGGTTGTGGGTTTGAAGTATATAAAATAATGTATGCACTCACTAACTGTAAGTCGCTCTGGATAAGAGTGTCTGCTAAATGACAAAAAATTATTAGACTTTTACATCACCAGATCATTGTGGTATAAAGTATAATATCCCTTATAACAAATCATGACTAACCGGTGCCCCCCCACATTGACTCTGTACCGGTACCCCCTGTATATAGCCTCCCTACTGTTATATTATTTTACTGCAGCTCTTAATTATTTTATCTTTTTTACTTATCAATTTTTTACTTAACACTTTTTTTTCTTATCTTAAAAAACGGCATTGTTGGTTAAGGGCTTGTAAGTAAGCATCTCACTGTAAGGTCTACACCTGTTGTATTCGGCGCATGTGGCAAATAAAATGTGATTTGATAACATTGGATGGATAGATGCATGTGCACACACATGTGCATGTGTAGCATGTGACAATAGCATGATCATATCAAGGACAGCATCACAAATGAATACATAAATACCACTTGAAGCTTGTTGATGACTTGATCATTTCAATCAACTGTGTAGTGCTAAGGCAAAAACAAAAAGGTGCACCCCTTTCAGTCCCCAGGACCAGGACTGAGAACCACTGCTCTTCATTGGGACCTCTTCATCTGCAGACAGGCTTTCACAGCTTTCTGAATCTGAGGCCAGAAAATCTCAAAAGAAACAGACTTCATTATACTCAAATTAGACCGCACTGAATATTAGGTTACTATTATCTCCGTCCTCACTTATAGGGACTGGAACTACACAAAAGTACCTGGCTGCCCTATACAGAATAGCCTACTCTCACTTTGACAGTTGGGGCTGCTATCCTTTCACCCTCCTCCATGGCTGTTAGCTAGCTAACGTTACCTACAAATGCGTTTGGAGTTTGTTTTTTACAGTGATAAATACATCAAGATAGCTAGCTAATATGAAGTTAGTTTGCTGGTGATATTCACTTCGCTAGCTATCTATACAGTATGTAAAGTCGGCTAGATAGCTAGCTACGTTAGCAGCTCATTTTAGTTAGCCTGCACTGTAGCTAGTTAGCTAATAATACATCGGGTTTTTTACATTTTCGAAATGTATTTACTTACTTGAATAGGTTCTCTCAGCCATGTGGACAATTGGAAACAGGGCAGCAAAGTTTGTTTGTCACCAGAGCGTTTTAGAGTATATTACTATTTACCTGTGAATAAATGAAATGGAGAATGGATGCAACTATTTACCCATTTCATAACCAGACCTTCATACAAACTTGCTATGCTAAATTCTTGACACAAAATCGAACGTGCTGCCATATGCCCACAAGCGAGGCGCGTGCTAGTGTACACGAGAAAGTAACAGCAATGAGGAGGCAGTTGTATTTGATAAACGTTTTCTTAAAAAGTAGGCTATGGATTTCAGCAAACAAAGTGGAAGGAAGTCCCAACGTTTCTTTACTCAATAAGCACAAAAACAGTAGCTAATCTAGAATCATGTTCAAATTAACTTTAAGAATAATTAATAAATTAAATTAAACTTGAAAGGGTCGAGGGAAATCAAATTAAACTGCCCTTCCTTCACTTCTTAATCGGAACCATATTCGAGATGTTTATCGCAGTTTAATTTCGATACCACTAGATGGTAGTATAGTGAAACCTAGCGTCCACACCAGACAATAAAAGCAAGAGATAGCTGACAGACGGCAGCTCAGACTCAACATCAGCATCCTTATTTAAGGGGGTGGGTATCCGAGAAATGACTGAGAATTAATTGTCAATAGCCTAGTAACCCTCCGGGAGAAATATGGATGTATGGCCGCCGAACTTGGAATAGAGATGTAGTTTCAAGGATGTCACCCATCTACATCTCTCGTTTGTTCCTCTTTATTTCTATCTCCGCGGTCTGGGAGGCGCGAGCCAAATCTCTTTCAGATCAAGGAGCACTTGGTAAGCTCACGCCATATGGGATGCTGCACAATGAGGGAGGATGGGAGTGGTTGCATTTTATATGGCTTTTGTTGACAAATATTACTGAAATTGCAACCGTTGGTTTGAAATGATTCTTGCTAATGACACGAGTCACCGTTTTTCTGAAATTGTATTGTTTATCAATGTGTATTTAGCATCAATTGGATCTTCGGAGCATCCCAACCAAATGAAATACCTAGTGATGCCATGAAGCTTATGTGTTTATAACAATTGGTAAAATAATCTTTACCTTATCAGCTTTTTGAAGATATGTAAAATCAGTAAAATCAATCACAGAACTCAATATAGGGCTATCAAATTGTTACAACCCAATTCTCCCTGTCAGGCTATTTGAAGGGCTCATCATGACAATGGTAAATGTGCCGCTGTAAAATATATAGCCAGCCTAGTCGAGGAAAATAAATCATAGGCCTAGGTGTTCACATATTTATCTTGTTAGGTCCTAAATAGATGTCCCTTTAGCAGCTATGCTAGCCAGGGGTCAATATAGTAATTAATTTAACAGTAACAATGTATCCCGGCCATTCGTGCATTCATAAACAGCTCATGTAGGCCTTGGCATATACATATATATATATACAGGCCTATATAGTATGTAAAGCATAGTCCCACTCCCCCCCAAAAATCTGCTGTATCTATTCTATTCAGGCCCTTCATATTCTTTATTTGGCTCTGAAATATATTCATTGTATAAATACACCCCCAGCAATTATTTATTGGAGCCTGTGTCCTCAAACAAACCAAATACATTTGTTGAAACAGTAGGGCTCTGTAATGATGCATGCATGCCAGAAGGGGAAACATATGCATGGGAATGCATGCATGTAGCCTACTATTGGACAGAATTGCTAGAGCTATCAGAAAGTGGGAATTAAGAATGGCAACATATGTCTATTTAACAGTCAGCCTAGGTCTCATACTGTAGGACTACACCCATTCCAGTTGCATTTTTATTTGCCATTTTGAAACACATCTAGTGGAGACTCCTGTATCCACGGAAACCTCCACAGCATGACCCATATTTATGGCATTCAAGAAACAAGATGTGAAACAAAATGTTCTGAGAGAAAATGATCAGTAGAGAACATGACAGAGCAAAAACAGATATGTGATATCTTGGGTGTGAAGCTACACAGCACTCACAGAGTTGGATAGGTTTGGAACGGATGTATTGATCCATTCTATCTGTTGGCCGTGTTTCTTGTATTGGTATATGCAATTGAAGACCAAATGCTGGACTTTGACAACAACAATAACACCAGCAGCACACACGTTTACTTCTGCAAGTTAGCAATCGCGAGTTTGGGACTATTAAGGTTTGTCAAAATGTTGTTATTGACATAGATAGAGGACATTGCACAGAACTAGGCTATCAGAGCAGGCTGGTGGGAGGAGCTAAAGGAGAACGGGCTCATTGTAATGGCTGGAATGGAATTAATGGAATGGTAACAAACACATCAAACTTATGGAAACCACATGTTTGACTCTGTTCCATTAATTCCATTCCAGCCATTACAATGAGCCCGTCCTCCTATAGCTCCTCCCACCAGCTTCCACTGCTACCTATACATTACTCTAAATACCCCAATTCATGTTGTTAAGTTAAAAAAAAAACCATATAAAAATTTCTGACACCATTCAAACCTTTAAGCCAATTATCTCAGAATCATCTTTTTGCAGATTCAACCTTATAGTCCCAAGCTCTCGCAATGTCAATAGGATGTGCAATAGAGCTGAATTATGACTGCACCATTGTGCGTGTTTGAGATCGATTGCAGTCAGACTGCGCAGAATCACTGATCTAAAAATCACCCTCCATGCCAAATAACTACTAATTATGTGATCAAGATGATCAATTTCTGCCCCTCGCCTCACTCACACTGATCCCCTCAAGCACTGATTGTTTTCATTCCTTTGCAGAGGTCCAGATCAGAGTTCAGGTGTTCGACAACAGTGACCTATCACCTTTGGCCGACGCCGCCATAGAGGTTCATGGGAACCGGTCTGTTTTAGCGTCCAGCCAGGCGGGCAGTGATGGCGTGCTTAGGGTGACCTTCCTGTACCACCCGGGGACCTGGGTCATCATCTCAGCGTCCAAACACGACTATGTCACCAACTCCGTCCCCTGGCACGCTAGCCGCATCCCTCGTAAGTGAAAATGCCTTAGTCATAGCAGTGTTCATTTCGTCAACAATAACTGACGAAAAATACTCGTCAACTACCTATTTTTCCTAACTAAAACTATGACGATAACGAGACGAGATGGCCTGGAAAAAAATGATAGCTATTACAAATTACTTTTCATTTTAGTTGACGAAAATGTGGCGAGACGAGAATTCCAAAACATGCATCCTGTTTGCAATAAGGCATTCAAGTAAAACTGCAGAAAATGTGGCAAAGAAATGAACTTTATGTCCTGAATACAGAGCATAATGTTTGGGGCAAATCCAACACAACACATCACTGAGCACTACTCTTCATATCTTCAAGCATGGTGGTGGCTGCATCATATTATGGATATGCTTGTCATCGGCAAGGACTAGGGAGTTTTCTAGGATAAAAATAAACGGAATAGAGCTAAGCACAGGCAATATTCTAGAAGAAATCCTGATTCAGTCTGCTTTCCAACAGACACTGGGAAACAAATTCATGTTTCAGCAGGACAATAACCTAAAACACAAGGCCAAATATACACTGGAGTTGCTTACCAAGATGACATTGAATGTTCCTGAGTGACTTAGTTACAGTTTTGACGTAAATCGGCTTGAAAATCTATGGTATGACTGGAAAATGGCAGTCTAGCAATGATCAACAACCAACTTCACAGAGCTTGAAGAATAAAAATAATAATAATGTGTCGAATATTGTACTGTCCATAGCTCATAGGTGTGCAAAGCTCTTAGAGACTTACCCAGAAAGACTCACAGCTGTAATCGCTGCCAAAGGTGATTCTAACATGTATTGACTCAGGGGTGTGAATACTTATGTAAATGAGATACTTATGTATTTAATTTGCAATACATTTGCAAAAATGTCTAAACATGTTTTCACTTTGTCATTATGGGGTATTGTGTGTAGATGGGTGAGATATACAGTGGGGAGAACAAGTATTTGATACACTGCCGATTTTACAGGTTTTCCTACTTACAAAGCATGTAGAGGTCTGTCATTTTTATCATAGGTACACTTCAACTTGGAGAGACAGAATCTAAAACAAAAATCCAGAAAATCACATTGTATGATTTTTAAGTAATTAATTAGAATTGTATTGCATGACATAAGTATTTGATCACCTACCAACCAGTAAGAATTCCGGCTCTCACAGACCTGTTAGTTTTTCTTTAAGAAGCCCTCCTGTTCTCCACTCATTACCTGTATTAACTGCACCTGTTTGAACTCGTTACCTGTATAAAAGACACCCGTCCACACACTCAATCAAACAGACTCCAACCTCTCCACAATGGCCAAGACCAGAGAGCTGTAGACCTGCACAAGGCTGGGATGGGCTACAGGACAATAGGCAAGCAGCTTGGTGAGAAGGCAACAACTGTTGGCGCAATTATTAGAAAATGGAAGAAGTTCAAGATGACGGTCAATCACCCTCGGTCTGGGGCTCCATGCAAGATCTCACCTCGTGGGGCATCAATGATCATGAGGAAGGTGAGGGATCAGCCCAGAACCCTCACGGCAGGACCTGGTCAATGACCTGAAGAGAGCTGGGACCACAGTCTCAATGAAAACCATTAGTAACACACTACGCCGTCATGGATTAAAATCCTGCAGCGCACGCAAGGTCCCCCTGCTCAAGCCAGCGCATGTCCAGGCCCGTCTGAAGTTTGCCAATGACCATCTGGATGATCCAGAGGAGGAATGGGAGAAGGTCATGTGGTCTGATGAGACAAAAATAGAGCTTTTTGGTCTAAACTCCACTCGCCGTGTTTGGAGGAAGAAGAAGGATGAGTACAACCCCAAGAACACCATCCCAACCGTGAAGCATGGAGGTGGAAACATCATTCTTTAGGGATGCTTTTCTGCAAAGGGGACAGGACGACTGCACCGTATTGAGGGGAGGATGGATGGGGCCATGTATCGCGAGATCTTGGCCAACAACCTCCTTCCCTCAGTAAGAGCATTGAAGATGGGTCGTGGCTGGGTCTTCCAGCATGACAACGAGCCGAAACACACAGCCAGGGCAACTAAGGAGTGGCTCCGTAAGAAGCATCTCAAGGTCCTGGAGTGGCCTAGCCAGTCTCCAGACCTGAACCCAATAGAAAATCATTGGAGGGAGCTGAAAGTCCGTATTGCCCAGCAACAGCCCCGAAACCTGAAGGATCTGGAGAAGGTCTGTATGGAGGAGTGGGCCAAAATCCCTGCTGCAGTGTGTGCAAACCTGGTCAAGACCTACAGGAAACGTATGATCTCTGTAATTGCAAACAAAGGTTTCTGTACCAAATATTAAGTTCTGCTTTTCTGATGTATCAAATACTTATGTCATGCAATAAAATGCAAATTCATTACTTACAAATCATACAATGTGATTTTCTGGATTTTTGTTTTAGATTCCGTCTCTCGCAGTTGAAGTGTACCTATGATAAAAATTACAAACCTCTACATGCTTTGTAAGTAGGAAAACCTGCAAAATCGGCAGTGTATCAAATACTTGTTCTCCCCACTGTATATATATATATATATATTTTAATCCATTTTGAATTCAGGGTGTAACACAACAAAATGTGGAATACGTCAAGGGGTATGAATACTTTCTGAAGGCACTGTAATTGGTTTGTATGTGTGGGGCTTTAGCTGAGATTGTTCTTTACAGTCAAGTATATTTGCCAGGCCTCAATTGTTTCGCTGTTGATAATTATAATGTTATAACTTCTAATAGTAACTGTATCCACTGATTAAATGGGAGAGGGTGTTTTTAAAATAGTCAACATAAAAAATAAAATAAAAAATAGGCTGGTCTGCCACATCCAGACCCACGCAGAAGTGATCCTATCCTTTGTTTCTCTGTCTCTCAAAATAGGCTGAATTCCAAATTGGTGCCCCTAACCCCTTCTACCTAGGCACTCCTATAGAACTGAAATCATAGGGTAGATGTAAGAAATTGGCTAGCTAGACTCAGTCGCTCATTAACATTGGTGTTTTTCTCTCTTGCAGTGTATGCATCGGTCAGCCTGTACCTCCTAGTCCAGAGGCCAGGCACCCTCATTCTCTACGATGATGTCATCCAGGTGCTGCATGGATCCCCAGGTAGGCTACAATAATGAGCTAAGTGGTATTGCCTAGTTGTTCTTTTCCCCTAGAGCAACATCCAGACAAACTAGGATCTAAATGACCAATTGAAATTAATAGAAGCCAAACTCTCTAAGGTGGGGGGACCCTTCCTGCCTATATATTTTACATTTACATTTTATTTATTTTGCAGATGCTCTTATTCAGAGCGACTTACAGGAGCAATTAGGGTTAAGTGCCTTGCTCAAGGGCACATTGACAGATTATTCACCATGTCGGTTCAGGGATTCGAACCAGCAACCTTTTGGTTACTGTCCCAATGCTCTTAACTGCTAATGGTATGGGAAACACTGCTTCTTTGTTCTGCTCTCTGATTTACCTTTTCCTCCAAAAGGGGCAGTCTTTACTCAGGCTATTACAGAAATTGTGTAAGGATTGTGGTGTTTCAGGTTTTATGCACTATTTGAAATCTGTTCAGAGTTCTTTAATTACTCTGAGGCCAATAACAAACATTTATTGTCCAGAATTCACCTCCTTCCAAGAGGGGAGTGAAGGTGCAATTTTCACCTGACTCCTCTCTGTTCTTGCACTCAACGGCCTTCAGAGGTTCTCATGTGACACTATTTCCTTCTGCTGTCTCCATAGCAACAACTGCAGTGGAGTACTTGGCTGCAGTTTTGTACAAGTCCATTTCCCAAATTCATGACTGCATGTCTCATGTCTCATGTCTCAAACATACAGTACAATTGCCTTAAAGGGGCAATCTGCCGTAGCTGCAACAACAAAGTGGACACCCCGCCACTGTTTTTGGTAAACAGCTTAGTTTTGGGGCTAGAGAAATGTCACCTCTCAAATATATAAACCGAGCTCTGGATGCAAGGACTGACCATCCATGACATCAAAATCATAGTTTTAACCATGTTTTGAGGCTATATAGTTTTTGATTTGAGTAGCATGTTTACAAACAATGAAATAAAACAAACTTATATTTTGGGTTCTGATGGGGTACGACAGTTGAACTAAGCCCATGAGGTATTTATAAGTTGCATTCTTTAAGAATCAATGGGTATATATACAGTATATATCATTAATGTAAAAGTACAAAAATTGCAGATTGCCCCTTTAAGTGTTGATAGTGATGTAGTATTTTACCCTACATACTGTAGCTTTTATGTCAAAATAGTCACTGCCAGGCGAGTGCTGTTATGGTTGTACCAGATTTTGGGTCGTTTTTCATTAGGCACCAGACAAGAAAAGGGACTGAAACGAGGGACCACCAGGATTTGTCCAATAAGAAATACTCTTTAAAAAAAATTATGCTAATGAACATGACCCATATGTCTCACGATTGGCTGGGTGGGCATCTGTTACTTCCTTTATAGGTGCACGGAACCAGCCATTGGTCCAGCTCCAGAGAAAGTCCCTTCAGCTGCCAGCTGATTCCAACTACACAGCACTGTCGGCTGTCCTGACTACTGCCAGAAGCCAGTATGAGATCGGGGGCTTCCCTTACCTCCTGGGCCTGGAAACCAACAGCACAGGTTGGCTTGGGAGAAATAAAATTTACATTTTAGTTATTTAACAGATGATCGTATCCAGAGCGACGCACAATAAGTGCCTTCTACTAAAGTAGGTAAGATAACTACATATCACGACGATCATTACAAAATCACGACTGGCCCAACCTCCTCCTGAAGAGCAACTGAGTAGGCATGCAGGTTTTTGTTCCACCCCTGTTGTAACACATCTGATTCAGCTATCAAGGTACAGATGAGCAGCTACGTAGTGACGTTAGCTGTGCGCAGATTAAAGTTAGAGCGAAAGCCTGCAGGATAGTAGCTTGTTTGGTGGTACTTGTGGTAGTTGATATCAAGGGCATAGTGTTAGGAATGCTTGTTGTTATAGGCTATGGATGGTCAACATATCATAACAATAACATGTACACTACAGGGGCGGAGACAGGATGGACAGACTTAACAGCACTGGCGGTGGTCAGCGTTCAGCTCTTTGACCGCGATGGGACCGTCATCCAGGTGTCCGATCCGGTCCACGTCTCCGTACCGCTGCCCTCGGATACTCGCACCAGGATCGCCACCAGCATTCCCGCCTGGCTGTACCAGCCCAAGACGGGTATGTGAAAGCTACTGGGATCATATGTTCCGATTGAAATTCTCATATTCATCCATCCTTCTGTGTAATATTTATAGACTCTAACATGATAAATAGGTAGGTAAGCTCCGCCATTTCCTGGTTGCAAAAATTGTAGTAGTTTGCCTAATTTAAGTTGATGTGACAAAACAACCATGTATAATGTAGAGAATCATTGTACCAGCTAAACCGCTGTGAAATATATTTTCCATAACCAAAAATATTGTACAGTATTTTTAGCTGTTTGAAGCTAGTGTACAAAACTGAAAGTAAAAGACACAAAAAACTAACTTAAGAACGGGAAGCATAGAAATAGCGCACATAGAACAGATCTACCGCTTCTTAGACTTGCTGTCAATGAGAATGGTATTTTGGATTTGGTATTTTATTAGGATCCCCATTAGCTGTTGCAAAAGCAGCAGCTACTCTTCCTGGGGTCCACACAAAACATGAAACATGACATAATACAGAACATTAATAGACAAGAACAGCTCAAGGACAGAACTACATAAAAACATTTTAAAGGCACACGTAGCCTACATATCAATACATACACACAAACTATCTAGGTAAAATAGGGGAGAGGCGTTGTGCCGTGAGGTGTTGCTTTATCTGTTTTTTGAAACCAGGTTTGCTGTTTATTTGAGCAATATGAGATGGAACGGAGTTCCATGCAATAATGGCTCTGTATAATATTGTACGCTTTCTTGAATTTGTTCTGGATTTGGGGACTGTGAAGACCCCTAATGACATGTCTGGTGGGGTAAGTGTGTGTGTCAGAGCTGTGTGTAAGTTGACTATGCAAACAATTTGAGATTTTCAATACATTAATGTTTCTTATAAAAAGAAGAAGTGATGCAGTCTCTCCTCAACTCTTAGCCAAGAGAGACTGGCATGCATAGTATTTATATCAGCCCTCTGATTACAATGAAGAGCAAGACGTGCCGCTCTGTTTTGGGCCAGCTGCAGTTTAACTAGGTATTTCCTTGCAGCACTGGACCACACGACTGGACAATAATCAAGATTAGACAAAACTAGAGCCTGCAGAACTTGCTTTTTGGAGTGTGGTGTCAAAAAAGCAGAGCATCTCTTTATTACGGACAGACCTCTCCCCATCTTTACAACCATTGAATCTATATGTTTTGATCATGATAGTTTACAATCTAAGGTAACGCCAAGTAATTTAGTCTCCTCAACTTGTTCAACAGCCACACCATTCATTACCAGATTCAGCTGATGTCTAGAACTTAGGGAATGATTTGTACCAAATACAATGCTCTTAGTTTTAAAGATGTTCAGGACCAGTTTATTAGTGGCCACCCATTCCAGAACAGACTGCAACTCTTTGTTAAGGGCTTTGGTGAGTTCATTAGCTGTGGTTGCTGATGCGTATATGGTTGAATCATCAGCATACATGGACACACATACTTTGTTTAATGCCAGTGGCAGGTCATTGGTAAAAATTGAAAAGAGTAGAGGGCCTAGAGAGCTGCCCTGTGGTACACCACACTTTACATGTTTGACATTAGAGAAGCTTCCATCAAATAAAACTCTTTGAGTTCAATTAGATAGATAGCTTTGAATCCACGATATGGCAGAGGTTGAAAAGCCATAACACATAAATGTTTTCAACAACAGGTTATGGTCAATAATATCAAAGGCTGCACTGAAATCTTAACAGTACAGCTCCCACAATCTTCTTATTATCAATTTCATTCAACCAATCATCAGTCATTTGTGTCAGTGCAGTACATGTTTAGTGCCCTTCCCTATAAGCATGTTGAAAGTCTGTTGTTAATTTGTTTACAGAGAAATAGCATCATATTTGGTCAAACATAATTTTTTCCAACAGTTTGCTAAGAGCTGGCAGCAAGCTTATAGGTCTACTGTTAGAACCAGTAAAGGCCGCTTAACCATTCTTGGGTAGCGGAATTACTTTGGCTTCTCTCCAGGCCTGAGGACAAAGACTTTCCTCTAGGCTCAGATTAAAGATATGACAGATAGGAGTGGCTATAGAGTCCGCTACCATCCTCAGTAGCTTTCTATCTAAGTTGTCAATGCTAGGAGGTTTGTCATTATTGATTGATAACAATAATTTTTCCACCTCTCCCACACTAACTATACAAAATTCTAACTTGCAATGCTTTTATTTCATTATTTGTTTTTTATGCATGAATACGATGGCTCACTGTTCATTGTTGGCATTTCCTGCCTAAGTTTGCGCACTTTGCCAATTAAGTAATCATTGTGATGAATAAGCCATCTGATTCGATGAAAGATGGAGTTGAATTTGTCTTTCAACCCATACTTTCATTTAAAGTACTCCAAAGTTGTTTTTCCATCATTCTTTATATCATTGATCTTGGCTTCATAATACAGTTTCTTCTTCTTTTTGTTGAGTTTAGTCACATAAGTTCTCAATTTGCAGTAAGTCAACCAGTCAGATGTGCAGCCAGACTTATTAGCCACTCCTTTTGCCCCATCTCTTTCTACCATACAGTTTTTCAATTCCTCATCAATCCATGGAGCCTAAACAGTTCTAACAGTCAGTTTCCTAATAGGTGCATGTTTATCAATAATTGGAAGAAGCAATTTCATAAATTCATCAAGTGCAGCATCTGGATGCTCCTTATTAATCACATCAGACCAACAAATATTTTTTATATCATCCACATATGAGTCACAGCAAAATCTTTTGTATGATCTCTTATACACTATTTTAGGCCCAGCTGTTGGAAATTTGGCTTTCCTGGATATAGCCACTATATTGTGATCACTGCATCCAATGGGTACGGATACAGCTTTAGAACAAAGTTCTACAGTATTAGTAAAAATGTGATCGATACATGTGGATGGTCTTGTTCCTGTAGTGTTTGTAAATACCCTGGTAGGTTGATTAATAACCTGAACCAGATTACAGGCACTGGTTACAGTAAGAAGCTTCCTCTTGAGCGGAGAGCTCTAGATCTAGATGGCCGGGCGGGGTGGGTGTGGAGCCAGAGACAGCAGAGGTTCAAACTGTAGAATTCAGTTCCTACATTTGAATATAAAAATTGATTTTATCAAACACAACTATGCTACATTTTATCTCTAGGACCCTTAGGATGACAATTCAGAGCAAGATTACTGAATATAAGTACATTATTTACCTTCAGAGGTGAATGTATCAAACCAGTTGCCGTGATAAGTTTTTTGTTGTTGTGCACTCTCCTCAAACAATAGCATGGTATTAGTTCACTGTAATAGCTACTGTAAATTGGATAGTGCAGTTAGATTAACAAGAATGTAAGCTTTCTGCCCATATAAGACATGTCTATGTCCTGGAAAGTTTGCTGTTACTTACAACAGTCATGCTAATCACATTAGCGCATGTTAGCTCAACCGTCCCGTATACGGGACACCGATCCCGTAGAGGTTAAAGATCAATAAAATGTAAAATCCCTGGATTATTTGCTTTTAGAGACCCATTTCAGACTACCAAAATGACATATGTTTGAATGCTTTTAACTTGTTGCCTGCTAAAACATCTATATGTTGGGTGTGTGGATTTTGTTGCAGGTCTGTGGGTCAGGAATGGGACTGGCTACATTAAAAAAGAGGGCACACAACTAATCTGGAACGTGGTCGTTCCTCAGTTGGGCTATTGGGTCGCAGCCTTCCCTTCATCTGCAGGTACTGTAACTGGCTAATTGCCTTGTGCTACGTCTTGGACATTTTGTTAGGATCTTAATTTAAGCCAGTTTGCTACAGCAGGAAAATAATCCTGCAGTAACAGGAAATATGAATGAGTATGTGGATTATAATTAATGGACATTTTTGTTGTGGTTGATACATTTCTCATTAGGGTAAATCAAGTCTGAAATGTCAAAGTCGAAATGACACACTTTAGAAGCCATTTTAACACTCAAATACACTACACGTTTGCATTTCCTGATCAAATTAAGATCCTACATCTTTAACACCATCATCTACAAACTAACCATTTTCGTCATGTAATGGAAAATGTATGCACTCACTAACTGTAAATCACTCTGGATAAGAGCGTCTGCTAAATGACTAAAATGTAAATGTAATGTTAATTGAACCCCGGTCGTCTTCTTTCCGCCACAGTGCTTTTGCACACTGCACCACAATATATCACTCAGATATTTCTCTTTTAGCCCACAAATATACAGTACCAGTAACTAACCCTCTACTGCACATGTTTTGTTTTTTCATAGAAAAAAAATATTCCATCCTATTTTTTAGAAGATTTCTAATGTTTTTTTTTACTTTTACCCCCCACACCCAAACATTTGTTTGTTGCCTCAGGGCAAAGCTGTACCATAAGGGTACTAAAACTCCAAGGAAAATCTGATATTTTCAGAATATTTATTTTAAATAAAATATAGTAGAAACAAGCACTCTTTTCATAAGAACATTTGTTCTAGACATATTTGTATTGTGCATTAAGCACAATTGTCCCTGCCCTTTCCCCTTTCCCCTCGTCCCTCCCCACTGTCTCTCTGTCTCCATATGTCCCATCCAAATCTCTTTATCTATCTCTGTCTCCCCTCCTCTCTCGTCTGTGTCTCTCTCTTTGTCCTCTCCTGTCAATGTCTCTCTGTCGTCTCCTGTCCCTGTCCACTCCTGTCCCTGTCTTTCTGTCTCCTGTCTGTATGTCCTAGCTGTCTTTGTCCTCTCCTGTCTGTCTCTCGGTCCTCTCCTGTCTCTGTGTCTGTCTGTCTCTTTTATTCTTGGTTTGGAATAGTTATTTCTTCTAGGAGTAATTATTGTATACAACATTTACATTTACATTTACGTCATTTAGCAGACGCTCTTATCCAGATCGACTTACAAATTGAGTTGGGCATAAACTAGTATTTCACTGCCTCTCAAACCTATCCTCACTATCAGAGGGTATGAGCCTTACTGCTCGATTAGGCTCCTTTCGCCCATAGAATGTCCATGTGTCCATTGCCTGTGAATGTCAGTGCAAGTCAAGCAGTCTGAGTATCTCCTCTCGTGGGAGCCCCATCATTGTGAGACTGCAACGGGCTCAGGTTGTTGCGAATATGCACATTTATATAAATCAACCGACTGCTCTGCCGGCGCAGTGTTTATGTTGGAGAGCAACAATCCGCTGAATAGCAGCCATGCTGTATTATTGTTGTTCCGCTGACCTCTGACAATGGCTTGGCGTTTATAGTGTTCCAGGTGTTTCCAATTTGTACCGGATAAGATTCAGCTTTCGATAAAACTAAGCTTGACATAATGTTAGAAGTTATCCTATACATTACCCAAATTAAACATTTATCATCGTACGATCATGCCCATTCACACAAAATACTTATAGTTTTAGAATGATTTATTGTGAGGTAAGGCAGAAAATAACCCTAACGATGCACTTTGGCTGCTCTACGAGTGGTCTGGATCACTCATAGATGTGAAAAGGTTTTTAAGAGCCACCTAACTAACCAAGGCTCTGGGAAACAGATTGGCTACTAAAGGTACAGCGTAAGATGGTTCTAACGAGGATCTTCAGGCTATGAAGGCTCTGAGAAATGAGGCCCAGTACCATGTCCCGTTGGGAAATGTTTTCCTCCAAAAATATGACATCCTATGTAGCGCATAAACACTTTTTGGACTTCGTTAATCACTTGAAATACTGTAGGTGTAAAAGTGATAATCTCCTACATCAATGCTCAGCCATGCTAAACAACATGTACAGTATGTACCATTCTTCCTGTATAGTGGTGCACTTTCTCCGTTGAACGTCTTTGGTGGAATGACACAGGTGTTATGTCCTTTCTTCAATCCGCCAAGAAGATGAGCCATGCTACAGTATACTGATCAGACCTGGGTTCAAATACTATTTATTGTATTTCAATTACTTTCACATACATTTCGAAGTAAGTGTTTGGATATTTTCTCTTTGGAAGTACAAGTGGTTGAATATTGGAATGTATTTTGAAATACACTTGAAAAGTATTGGCATGTATTTGAGTGTATTTTCAAGTACAAATATTTAAAGACTACATGCATTTGAACCCAGGTCGGTTTCGTCCTGGGGGTATTTTAAATAATGTATTTCGAAACGTATTTTTAAATAGTTTCAAATAATAGGCTATACATATTTAAAAATAGAAGTCGTTGATTCTGCCACATTATTAGAAAATACTAAAATATATAGAAAATAAGTATTTAAAATACAAATACTTAAAAACGCATGTATTTGAACCCAGGTCTGATGCTGACGACCCAGGCCTCATGCTCAGTCCCCTGCTGTTTCATTCCAGAAGGTTGCTCCCACTGTCTTCATTCACACTCCTTCACAGATGTCACAGGACTGGGAAAAAACATAAAGGAACATCCTGCATGACCAGACTTCTTCACTGCACACATTTCTAACCCCTACACAGAGACAATATGATCTGAGTTCAAGGCAATACTTCATTTCAACAAGCCGCACTACAAGACACCAGACATCTTTCTTGCCAAGAGCTCTCAAACGAAATGCAAATGATCTCTCTATCGCTAAAGACATTCATATGCATGTTTATTGATTTAGTGGTATGCCAATTTGTTGTTTATGACTAATGATTTATTGATGATGCACTGTCCATGTAGTTAGGTTGATCATATCTTTTACTTGTGTTTTATATTGTATGACATCACATGGTATGTATGTTGCTGCATATGTACCAAGATGTTCAAATAAACATAAACAAACAAACAACACATGACATATCGAACTGCTTGGAATGAAATATACAGTGCATTCGGAAAGTATTCAGACCCCTTCCCCTTTTCCACATTTTGTTACGTTACAGCCTTATTCTAAAATGGATTGGATAAAAAAATGTCCTCATCAACCTACACAAAATAAAAAACAGAAATGCCTTATTTACATAAGTCTTCAGACCCTTCGCTATGAGACTCGAAATTGAGCTCAGGTGCATCCTGTTTCCATTGATCATCCATGAATTGTTTCTACAACTTGATTGGAGTCCACCTGTGGTAAATTCAATTGATTGGACATGATTTGGAAAGGCACACACCTGTCTATATAAGGTCCCACAATTGACAGTGCATGTCAGAGCAAAAAGCTAGCCATGAGGTCAAAGGAATTGTCCGTAGAGCTCAGAGACAGGATTGTGTCGAGGCACAGATCTGGGAAAGGGTACAATTTTTTTTTCATTATTGAAGGACCCCAAGAACACAGTGGCCGCCATCATTCTTAAATGAAAGAAGTTTGGAACCACCAAGACTCTTCCTAGAGCTGGCCGCCCGGCCAAACTGAGCAATTGGGGGAGAAGGGCCTTGGTCAGGGAGGTGACCAAGAACCCGATGGTCACTCTGATAGAGCTCCAGAGTTCCTCTGTGGAGATGGGAGAATCTTCCAGAAGGACAACCATCTCTGCAGCACTCCACCAATCAGGCCTTTATGGCAGAGTGGCCAGACAGAAGCCACTCCTCATTAAAATGCACGGCAGCCCGTTTGGAGTTTGCCAAAAGGCACTTAAATGACTCTCAGACCATGAGAAACAAGATTCTCTGGTCTGATGAAACCAAGATTGAACTCTTTGGCCTGAATGCCAAGCATCACGTCTGGAGGAAACCTGACACCATCCCTACGGTGAAGCATGGTGGTGGCAGCATTATGTTGTGGGGATGTTTTTCAGCGGCAGGGACTGGGAGACTAGTCAGGATCGAGGGAAAGATGAACGGAGCAAAGTACTGATGAAAACCTGTTCCAGAGCGCTCAGGACCTCAGACTGGGGCGAAGGTTCACCGTCCAACAGGACAACGATCCTAAGCACACAGCCAAGACAATGCAGGAGTGGCTTCGGGACAAGTCTCTGAATGTCCTTGAGTGGCCCTGCCAGAGCCCGGACTTGAATCCGATCGAACATCTCTGGAGAGACCTGAAAATAGCTGCGCAGCGAAGCTCCCCATCCAACCTGACAAAGCTTGAGAGGATCTGCAGAGAAGAATGGGAGAAACTCCCCAAATACAGGTGTGTCAAGCTTGTAGCGTCATACCCAAGAAGACTCGAGGCTGTAATTGCTGCTAAAGGTGCTTCAACAAAGTACTGAGTAAAAGGTCTGAATACTTATGTAAATGTAAGATTTCCGTTTCAAATTTTTAATAAATGTTTAAACATTTATAAAAACCTGTTTTTGTTTTGTCATTATGGGGTATTGTGTGTAGATTGATGAGGAAAAATAAAAATTTAATCAATTTTAGAATAAGGCTGTAACGTAACAAAATGTAGAAAAAGTCAAGGGGTCTGAATACTTTCCGAATGCACTGTAATCCCTTTAGTTGTAAGTAGGCTTCTGCTTCAAGTATGGTTCAAATACATTATCTAAAATACTATAGTATTACTGGTGTGCTTGATTTAGCTCGGAATTGGCACTTTTGGGACTACTCCACTGTTTCCATTGTACCAGGCAAACTAAATCAAGCGCCGTTCCAGTATTTTAAAGTATTTGACCCAGGTCTGCTCCGCTTTGTCTTCCACGCAGGCGTGGTCCTGGGTTTCAGGCACCCTTGATTTAGCATGGAGTTTGCACTTTTGGGACTACTCTATTGGTTCAATTGTATCAGGCAAACTAAATCAAGCGCAGCTCCAGTATCTGACCCAGGTCTGCTCCTATGGGCTTTGTCTTCCATGCAGGCGTGGGTCTGGGGGGTCACTCGGGCCTGAGGGACATCACCACCTACCACACCCTGTTCCTGCTCTCCATCCTGGGCTCGCTGGCCCTGCTGGTGCTCATCCTGCTCTGTGTGCTGCTCTACTACTGCAGGTGTGGAGCACGTAGACACAGGTCTCACTTCTAATGGGCTTCTACATTATGAACATGCGTTAGGAACAAATAACAAAATAATACATTTTTTGGTTTGTTTTGTCTGGCGTTTCAATGTTTTTCTCAAGTTTTTTGTTTCTTTTGTCTGGGGTTTTGTTTGTTTTTTCTGACTTTTTAGTTTTGTTCTTTTTCCAGACGGAAGTGTCTGAAACCACGGCGACAACAGGGTAAGCCACACACAGCTCTGAATAGCTCCAAGCGCGACCAGGGCACGTCCACTTCCCGCCTCAACCTCATCTGTGGCGGCCACGTTGAATCCGGTCCATCCAATGACGCCAGCAAATCTGACCCATCCCCCTCACGAGACTACCAGAGCTCGCGGGAGGAGTTCGCCAAGCACGTCCCCGCCCACAAGCTGCGGCATTCGAAGGGGAAAGGAGCCTCAGGACCCCAGAGGGGCGAGAGCTTCCCTATGAAGGTGACCCGCGCCACAGACACCAACAATCTCGACAACCCCCTGCTGCTGCAAGAAGACTACTCACGGAACTACAGCCCGATCATGGAGGACGACAAGGATTCGGACTACCACATACGCTGCCACAACGCCAACGACAATCGCGGCTACACCTCAGACGGGGGCTCCCCACCTCGTTTCCTGTCGGACAAGTCGGACAAGCCTCCCGAGTACTCTGCGGCCGCTGCCGACCACCTGGCCCGCCCGACATCGCTCAACACACAACCGGGCCAGATCATCTTCTGCCACTCCATGGACCAGATGAAGGAAAACATGTACCGAAGCATGGTGCCCACCTTGGTCATACCGGCCCACTACATGCGCATGTCCTCAGACTTCTCCGGGAAGGAGCAGCAGCAGGATAAGGACGCGGGGATGCAGATGGGTGCCGGTCAGTCACACCATCCCCAGCAACAGAGCCAGCACCAGCAGCACCAGCAGCAGGGCGGCTCCCAAGGGGACGACTCGGAGGGTCAAAACTGGAACTCGGACCCATCCCAGGGCCCTGTGCGGATCCCTGTGCTCTTTAACGACTCCACCATGGCACAGATGAATGGCGAGCTGCAGGGGCTGACTGAGAAGAAGCTCCTGGAGCTGGGCATTAAGCAGCACCCACGTGCCTGGTTCATCTCAATGGACGGCCGCGCCAACCACGTGCGCCATTCTTACATCGACGTGAGCAACGACCTCAGCAGCGGCGGAATTGGTGGGGGAGGCGGCGGCCCCAGCTGCAGCACAATCCGAGAAGCCAACCTCGAAGGACCCATGGACGGCACCCAAGAGCGCAAGGCCGCGGCAATCCGTAAGGGTAAGGACGAACGGTGGGGAACTGGTGGACGGAAGGGTGGTGGCAGTAAGGGCATGTCCAAGCTGGCATACCAGGACCACAGCGAGCCCAGCAGCAGCGAGGGCCGCCCAGTGTCGCCCGAGGAGAACTCCCTTACCCCGCTGCTGGACGAGGGGCCCTCGTCGCGAGGCTCCACCATCCCCCGGAGAGGCCGCAGCCGCATGAACAGCGCGCGCAGCAGCAACAGTGAGAACCGTCGCGACTCCATGACTAGCCCAGAGGATGACCCGGACAGCAAGGATGAGAACAAGAAGAGCCCGTGGCAGAAGATCGAAGACCGGCCTCTCATGGTGTTTCCCCCTAAAAAGTTGTAGGCTAACATCTCAGGCCCCACTCATATGGAACATAAGAGTTGGTCCAGTAGTCAGGGCATTAATACAGCCATTTTGAGATACCTAAAGAAACAATAAAAGGAAGGTGGAGAAGTAGCATTTGACCGAAAGAAGAAAAGCACAAGCCTGCTTGATAATCCGTCAAATGATACTATTGTAATGACATTGTAATGACAGCCTCTTTCAAGGGTTATTGTGTTTCACATTTTCGATCACACTCCTAATTCCCATTTCCCCCAATCATTCTTCTCCTTGTCTTTCCAAATCCATTTTTGAGATCCCTCTCAGTAAATTCACCTCTGAGCCACTGACTTTGGAAATAACCATCTTAACAAAGAAAACCCCAATGGTTATATTTGGAGAGAACTTACCTACAGTATCTGGTTGCGACTGAAATAATTTGCCCAGTATTGTGAATGGACTTGGAATTTCTATATGAGAAAGACAAGGCACTTCGAGGACAAGATTAACCTCTTCTCTCCTGGACTTGTGTACTACACATTTATGAAGGCCAGGGTCAATTCCATTTCAGTTCAGTCAATTCAGGAAGCAAACAGAAATGTGTAATTTGCGTTTGCGCCCTGAATTGGCTGAATTAAAATGGAATTGACCAAAACCCTGATATAGGCCCACCTTGACTTTTAGTGGTTGTAATCCTGTCACTTTGGTCACCCTGCTTCCAGGACTATAAGAAGGAGATACTGTATCTCTGTTAAAACATTAGCACATATTATCCCAAAGCATACATGTGTGGAGGTTATGTGGTTTCTTTCTTTATGGTTTTCTATTTGGAGGATTTTTATGGATTGATAGTTAGTGTAAATATCTGTTGATCTCCATTTGATAGGTCGTTCGTACAATTATGTACTTTTAATGTGAAATATGCATTACTCCTTCAGGGAAATGTATTTGCAATTCTTTATGTTGTAATGATTTAGTATAATACTGTAAGCCACTTATCTGAGGGGGGATCTCGTCCTACAATTTTACACATATTTTCTTCATTTTAGGCTCAAAATAAGCATGTCGTCCTGTTACTTGCCACTGGCCACTTTATATTCCACTGTTTCCCCCCCCCCCTTTTTTTCTGTTTTTGTGTTTGGAATGCCACGGTTGCTACGGGAGATCATGCTGTCTCAAAGCAAATGATGTAAGCATTTGTAGGCGAATTTCGAAACTGTAGAATAACTGCATTCACCACCGACCTCTGTGACAGTTTTCTGTCCTTTCAAAACAAAATGGAGGCTGTCTACCAACAGCTGCAACAGTCTCACCCTTCATCTGCCCCCACCTACCCCCAGGACTACCTGACTCACCACCTGTGAACAGACTTAATGTCCTCCCTTGTCAATGAAACCACCATTACTGAACTCTTGTCTAAATCCAAAACTACAACCTGCTCCCTTGACCCCATGCCCACTGTCTTAGTTAAGGTATGCCCCTGGTTGTCAAGATTGTAAATGCATCCCTTGCATCTAGCATTGTTCCTACTCCTTTGAAAACAGCGGCTAAAACTCCCATACTGAAGAAAAAGGGCCTGGACGCTGAGATCCTCACCATCTACAGGCCTATCTCAAACCTACCATTCCTCACCAAACTGCTTGAGTGGGTGGTAGCATCACAAATCCAACAAAACATGGCCTCTCATTAACTTTTCAAACCCCTCCAGTCGGGCTTCTGGGCTATGCATAGCACTAAAACTGCCTTGGTAAAGGTAGTGAATGACCTCATCTGTGCTGCTGATGGTGGGAACATCTCCATCCTCATCCTCCTGGACCTGTTTGCAGCATTTGACACTGTCTGTCATCAGATTTTAACTGACCGCATTCTTGTAGTTTCTGCAGCACCCCTTGCCTGGTTCCACTCCTATCTATCTGATAGACAACAGTTTGTCTCCCTTGGCAACTGCAGGTCTGCCCCAGCCCCTGTATCACAAGGTGTCCCACAAGTCTCAGTGTTAGGTCCATTACTGTTTAGTATTTACATGCTACCCCTTGGTCAGATCCTCCGTCAATTTGGACTCCGATTTCATTGTTATGCAGATGACACACAAATCTACATCCACACAAAACCCAACTCCACTATGCCACCCCCCTCTGTTGTTGACTGTCTGAAAACTTGGATGAGCAATAACTTTTAAAAACAAAACGACGACAAAACAGAGATCATGCTGATGGGCCCCAACTCCGTCATCAAGAAACTGGGTCAATTCAACATGACAATCAATGGCTGCACCATCCACTCCAACTTCACAGTCAGGAAACATGGTGTTACATTTGAACCCCACATCCTTAACATCACCAAGTCAGCCTTCTTCCACCTCAAAAACACCTCATGACTCAGACCCTCTCTCACTGACCCCACAACCCTCATCCACACCTTTGTTTTATCATGCCTGGCCTACTGCAACGCCATTCTATAGGGACTCCCCGACAAAACACTGGGCAGACTTCAAAATTCAGCTGCATGAGTACTCACACACACCAGACCTTGGGACCACATCACCCCCACCCTCATCAAATTCCACTGGCTCCCAGTTCAATACAGGATCATCTTCAAATTGCTCATGCTCACCTACAAAGCACTCAATGGACTTGTGCCCACATACCTTACTGACCTCCTGCACCCCTACACTCCCACCTGTTCAAAGCGCTCCTCTGACACTGGCCTCCTCACCATCTCTCGCACCAGGCTCCGCTCCATGGGAGACTGGGGTTTTAGCTGTACAGCTCCCCAAGGCTGGAACTCCCTCCCTCTCCATGTCAGAACCTCACAATCCATACACATATTCAAGTCCACACTAAATACACACAGGCTTACCTGGATTATCTGTTGCCTTAACTTTTATCCTCCGTCTAGTTCACTTCCCTGGTTAATCCGTCATCATGTTTAGTGTTCTCCATGGTTAGTGTACTTTTATATACTTAATTATTTTATCATGTGATTTTAATGCTTTTTTATCCTGCTGATTCTCGTGTTTGTGTAAAGTGACTTTGGGTGTCGTGAAAAGTGCTTAAAATAACATTTATTATATTATAATGCTCATTGACTGAACATTCCAAATTACCTTGGAAATTATGCATTAATGCTACCATGGCAATTATGCATCACAATAGTAATTATATTTGCCAGTAACATTTGCAACCAAATCATTGTATTGTACCTGGTCGCATAGAGACTTTTATGGCACCTGTGGATTCAAAATGAGTAGCCTAATTATTTACACGCCACCCCCCCCCCCCAAAAAAAAAGAATAGGAGAGGGGAATTCCACTTTCACATACAGTACCAGTCAAAAGTTTGAACATACCTACTCATTCCAGGGTTTTTCTTTATTTTTACTATTTTCTACATTGTAGAATAATAGGGAAGACATCAAAACTATGAAATAACACATATGGAGTCATGTAGTAACCAAACGCCAGGGTTGTGGGTTCGATTCCCACGGGGGCCAGTATGATGTTTTTTTTGGGGAAAAAAAGAAAATGTATACAAAAATAAAATAAAATAAAATGTATGCACTAACTGTAAGTCGCTCTGGATAAGAGCGTCTGCTAAATGACTTAAATGTAAATGTAAACAAATCAAAATATATTTTATATTTGAGATTCTTCATAGTAGACACCCTTTGCCTTGATGACAGCTTTGCAGACTCTTGGCATTCTCTCAACCAGCTTCATGAGGTAGTCACCTAGAATGCATTTCAGTTAACAGGTGTGCCTTGTTAAAAGTTAATTTGTGGAATTTCTTTCCTTCTTAATGCGTTTGAGCCAATCAGTTGTGTTGTGACAAGGGAGGGTTGGTATACAGTCAATCCGGAAAACTTCAAGTGCAGTCGCAAAAACCACCAAGCGCTATAATGAAAATGGTTCTCATGAGGACCGGCAGAGGAAAGGAAGACCCAGAGTTACAGTGGGAGTTGGAAGTTTACATACACCTTAGCCAAATACATTTAAACATAGTTTTTCACAATTCCTGACATTTAATCAGAGTAGAAATTCCCTGTTTTAGGTCAGTTAGGATCACCACTTTATTTTAAGAATGTGAAATGTCAGAATAATAGTAGAGATAATTATTTATTTAAGCTTTTATTTCTTTCATCACATTCCCAGTGGGTCAGAAGTTTACATACACTCAATTAGTATTTGGTAGCATTGCCTTTAAATTGTTTAACTTGGGTCAAACGTTTCGGGTAGCCTTCCACAAGCTTCCCACAATAAGTTGGGTGAATTTTGGCCCATTCCTCCTGACAGAGCTGGTGTAAATGAGTCAGGTTTGTAGGCCTCCTTGCTCGCACACGCCTTTTCAGTTCTGCCCACACATTATCTATAGGATTGAGGTCAGGGCTTTGTGATGGCCACTCCAATACCTTGACTTTGTTGTCCTCAAGCCATTTTGCCACAACTTTTGAAGTATGCTTGGGGTCATTGTCCATTTGGAAGACCCATTTGCGAACAAGCTTTAACTTCCTGACTGATGTCTTGAGATGTTGCTTCAGTATATCCACATGATTTTCCTTCCTCATGATGCCATCTATTTTGTGAAGTGCACCAGTCCCTCCTGCAGCAAAGCACCCCCACAGCATGATGCTGCCACCCCCGTGCTTCACGGTTGGGATGGTGTTCTTCGGCTTGCAAGCCCCCCCTTTTTCCTCCAAACACAACGATGGTCATTATGGCCAAACATTTATATTTTTGTTTCATCAGACCAGAGGTCATTTCTCCAAAAACTACGATCTTTGTCCCCAGGTGTAGTTGCAAACCGTACACTGGCTTTTTTATGGCGGTTTTGGAGCAGTGGCTTCTTCCTTGCTGAGCGGCCTTTCAGGTTATGTCGATATAGGACTCGTTTTACTCTAGATACTTTTGTACCCGTTTCCTCCAGCATCTTCACAAGGTACTTTGCTGTTGTTCTGGGATTGATTTGCACTTTTCGCACCAAAGTACGTTCATCTCTAGGAGACAGAACGCATCTCCTTCCTGA